TCCTGAACTTCCTGGAAGTCTATTTCCTTTGCCAGAATGGGGAAGTTCTCTTTATTATTTGTTCAAGTAAGTTTTCCATCTGTTGCTCTTCCTCTTCCCCTTCTAGTACCCCTATAATTCGGATGTTGGAACGTTTAAAGATGTCCTGGAGGTTCCTAAGCCTCTCCTCATTTTTTTGAATTCTTATTTCTCCATTCTTTCCTGTTTGGTTGTTTCTTTCTTCCTTCTGGTCCACTCTATTGTTTTGAGTCCCAGTTTCCTTCCCATCACTATTGGTTCCCTGTGCACTTTCCTTCATTTCTCTTATCGTAGCCTGCATTTGTTCATCTAATTTGCAACCAAAATCAACCAATTCTGTGAGCATCTTGATCACCAGTGCTTTGAACTGTGTATCTGATAGGTTGGCTATCTCTTGGTTGCTTAAAAGTACTGACTCTGGGGCTTTCAATTCTGTTTGAGCCATCTCCCCCCCCCCTTTGGTCTGGTTGTGCCTGTTACATATGAGGGGCAAGGCCTTAGGTGTGCACCAGGGTGGGGCACCCCAGTCACTGGGTTGTTATGTTGTATGTGGGGGCAGGGTCCAAGAGGGAACAATAGCCCTTGCTCTGCTCTCCATGGGACCTCAGTCCCTTCTGCTGCTTCCCCTGAGCAAACTGGGCCCCTCTGGTGCCAGTTCCCGTGTGGGTGGGCTTGTGCACCCCGTGGGACTTTCCAAAGACCTCTCCTGTGAGGCTGGGAGTATCTCCCTGCACCTCAACCCCCACAGGTATTTTCAATCAGTGTCCCGAGGCTCTATTTCCCAATGCTGTGGTCCTGGGTTGCAAGCAGTGCCTTGCTTCACAATTCCTGCCTCGCTGGGTCTGCTGGTTGCCACCCCTCAGCTGGGCTCTGCCAGCTGCCACTTGTGCACTCAGGGTCTGCCCGCTTCGGTCTTGTGTGCCCCGGATGCCTTATGCACCCAGTCCCAACTCTCTCTGCTCTCCATGCCAAGACCCACGCCCAGCTCCCCAACTCTACCCCTCCTACCGGTCTGGATGAACAGGTCTATTTTAACTTCTTGGTTGTCCGGCTTCCATACAGTTCAATTTTCTTTCAGTTCTGGTTGTTACTCTGTTTCTAAATTGTTATTGTCCCTATCTTGGTTGTGCAAGGAGGCACAGTATGTCTACCTATGCCTCCATCTTGGCCGGAAGACACGTTAAGTTTTTAAATCTCTCTTTTGACTCTAGGCACAGTTTTAAAATAAATCTAACTGGAATATGTTATAGTCTCCATGCATCCTTCCACTCTGGAAAAATAGTGGGGTGGCTGCCAGTTTTTAGTAGAAAATGGATTCATGGCAAAGAGAAAACAACCATTTTTATTTTGAACATTCTTTAAAAATTTAGACACTCTCCAATCAGGAAGATGCTCTAACCAACTGAGCTACTCAGGATCACAGGTTTGATGTCCTGTCAGAGACATGCAAGAAGCAACAGATGAATGTATAAATAAGTGGAACTACACATGGATGTTTCTCCCCTCTTCTCTCTTTCTCTAAAATCAGTTAAATATTTTTTTTAAATTAACACTACCTTAGTCCATTAGGGTTTCTAAAAAATAATACCACAGACTAGGAGCTTGTAAACAAAAGAAATTTGTCTTTCATGCCCTGGCAGGTGGAGTCCAGCAGAAGGTGGTCAGCAGTGGTAGGTTCTGGGGAGGCTCTCCTGGGGCTGCAGATGGATAACTTCCCACAGTGCCCCCAGTGGTGGAAGGAAGAACCAGGCCCTGGGGCCCCGTCATAGGGGCACTGAGCTCCAGTGTGAAGGACCTCCCAATGGCACACCTCCTCACACCATCCTCTTGGGGATCAGGTTTTCAGCATTGGGTTGTGGGGGGAGTCTGAATGTCACACTGACATTCAGACGACTGCAGAAACTGACCCACCTAGTTCTCATGGAGGGTGGGAGTCTCCCTCTGTGATCCTTGTAGAGTTTTATTACCATCTACAACAGGGATGTCAGGGCTACATGAAACTGTATTGAAAATCACACAGTTTCCAGTTTTCTGGCATGCATTGTGGTTCATGTCTTTCCAAAATGAAGTAGGATTTTGGGAAAATCACAGGTAATGTCTTCTATCTGTGTGTGTGTGTGTGTGTGTGTGTGTGTGTGTGTGTGGAGAGAGAGAGAACGCTCTCCTTTCTGCTCTCAGGGAAGTGACAGAGCAGCTGGTGCTTTGGCAGAAGCTGCAGAGCACCAAGGTGAGACCCGAGTGGCTGTACTATCGGGTGTGATGGTGGCCAGGCCAGCCCACAAAAGTTGTTCAAATCCCTGGCTTGTGTAGCTCAGTGGATTGAGCTCGGGCTGCAAACCAAAGTGTCTGATTCGATTCCCAGTCAGGGCACATACCTGGGTTGCAGGCTATAACCCCCAGCAACCGCACATTGATGTTTCTCTCTCTCTCTCTCTATCTCCCTCCCTTCCCTCACTAAAAAATAAATAAATAAAATCTTAAAAAAAAAGTTGTTCAAAGCCACCATTAGAAAACCAGATGACATCCTTAGGTTGTGTAAACAATAAATAAATAGATAAATAAATAAATAAATAGGATTTTCTTATTCCCATTTCTGAATGTGACAGAATACTTTTAAAGGAAACCATTGTCTTTGTACGAGCCACACAGAGGCTGGGATTATGGGCCTCTGCTTCGAGGGCACAGGGGTTAGGGGCTCCAGGAGGCTCTGGGTAGGCTGACAGGTTAGGGTGGGCTACAGCAGGGGTCCTGAGGGCCATAGTGGCTGTTGCAGAGTTGGGCTCTGTAAAGCATGCCTGGGAAAATGTCCACTGTCAGTTCCCGCTTTTAGCCTTCTCAACGGCCATGCTGGGACTCGGAGCCTGGGAGGAGCTCCTCTGACCACATTGAGGGGCCCAGGGCAGGGCCAGCATCGGTTGGACAGATGGTTCTTAATAGCTTACGATGACAACAAACTTGTGAAGTACAAGGGAGAATTATCATTAACTTCCTTTATTTTGAAGAGGAAAATTATCTACTAGGAGTTAAGTGATTTCCTGAGGACCAAAGGTGACAACATCAGAACTGGAACATCTTTTTTCCATACTGGCCCCCTGGGCATGTTCACCAAACCAAGCTTCCCATCGGATGTAAACTGTTTGTTCACTCATACTACATATGTGTATGACCTCAAATATCATAACTTAAATTTCTCTGACAATATGGTTATATCACTCTGCCAACATATATTTTGATCAGTTCCAAAAGAAAATGGCATCATTTAAAATATTTTATACTTTTCAAATTAAAAACTTTCTGATGGAGCGGCTGAGAGAGTACTGCCACGAACACGGTCGTGCTGAATTAACTGAATCCCAGAGCATGTCGAATGGCACCTTCCTGAACAGCCCTCCTCGGGCCTCACTTTGATGGATGTGCTATGTCAGGTCTGCAAAGACCTATGGGCCTCAGAGACCAAGTTCTATTAAAAACATCTTTGCAAAATAAGATTTTAAAATAACTCCAAGTAGTCAAAAGCAGCAAGACTAAGTTTACCAGTACTTTTGCTCTGGAGAGTTTGTGTGTTTTGTTTAGTAGACTTCATAATGCAAAGGTGACCGCAATATTTGTCTGTTTCAATTGTTGACTTGTTCCAACTTTCCTGGCAATGTTTAGGCATTTGCCAAGTGAGACTTCCCAGACAGCTGCCAGAATAGGCTACAATTGCACAAAGAATAGCACGGAATCCCCAGTGGGTTGTCAGTTGGATTGGGAAGAAGACTCAAGTTTGGGTGCCTGACAATTATTATTGTGAAAATATTACAATAATGGTGGCAGGTGTTGGTATAAAATACAAAGAGAGGGACTGGATGTCATATGACGTCCCCAATCTGATTCTCAGAATGTGCTATCAACAATTTGAATCACATTATGAGAGAGGTTTGACAGTTTTTCCTCGTGGTCCATAGCATTTCTCTATTCTAGATGTCCCCACGGTCCCCACCTTGGCCGGCCTCCAGCCATCACCGCACTGCTGTGTGTCCAGGGTTATCCACAGCATTTCTTTAGTGATTTCCCTTTTCAGACACTTTGATTCCGACCTTTTCACCTTTGACCCCATGATCCAATACAGTGCCTGGCATGTGAAATGCCAGGGATCATCAGACATTCAGGAAATGCTCGGTGACCTTGGATTTCCCATACCCTCTCTCCATCCTAGTTTCCTAGCTCCCCATTTTCTAGCACCAGTTTCTTCTTGTAAAACAGCTGCCATCCACCTTTCCACCCAGGAAAGTGTTCTTTTAGGCTGAGGCTTAAAGGACTTTTATCCACTGGGTTCAAGGTTAGACCCACTAACCACACTTATGTAAATGGGGTGGTTGGATGCTAAAAATCTATTTGTTTAGTAATCAGTATAACACAGCACCACCACTTATAAGTAGAGCTTTCTTGACCTGCAAATAAACCAAAGAAAACTATTAGAATTCACTGAGAGATTGAAGGAGCCATAACCCATATTGTATGCTCCATCTCACTCTTCAACGTAACAGTCCTATGTTCACTGCTGCAGCCTTAAATGTGCGATCAATTGACAAATAGCGAAACTACAGCCCTGCTCCACCTGCCACAGAATAAACCGACACAGAACTTGCCGGTCCCCCGAAGTCTCTCATAGGGCCGGTGTGTCTGGTGGCACAGAAGGGGCAGCCAGAGAACGGGAGCCCACCCAAGTCATGCCCTTGGAGTGGGTCTTCCAGGGTCTCTGCGAACCAGCAGTGCCTCTCTGTCCCTAGCTAGAGGGAACATTCCAGACACAGAGCCTTGAGAAGGGCCCTGGGGTGTAGGGCTGGGCAGGTGCTCCTGCAGAGGGCGGCTGGTGCCCCATAAGGGCTTTTCTGTGTCACAAGGTCTGTCTCTGAACCTGGTGGCGACGGGAGGGGCCGTGTCACCGCCTGCAGAGCCTCTTCCTGCAACTGCTGCTATCTTGACAAGTTATGAAAAAGAACTGGGAGGGAGCCTGGCAGCCCGCGAGCTGTGACAGGAAGCGTCCCATTAAGCGGACAAACAGCGCACAGCGCCCTCGCTGGTCTCTGCGTCCTCTTTGCAGCAGTTTCGCCGCCCTCCCCGGGACTTTTTCCTGTCGGCGGGGGCGCGGGGCGGGCTCAGCACTCCCTTTACTTCTCAGTTTCTCATAGCCTCGCTCTGGAACTTTCGACCTCCCGCAGCTCCTCGTTAATTGCATCCACCGGCTTCCTGCGCGCCCACGGCGCACGCACATTCCCGCGGCCGCCGAGCACTGCGCCCGCAGCGCCTCTCCAGGTAAGGGGATCGGGAGAGAAGTCCCAGCGCCATGAGGGTCTGAGAGTCCGCAGCCTAGTCACAGCCACTGATCTCACCCAGGTTCCCCTACTTCTGGGCTCACCCGTCGGCGAAAGGGAACAACGGCAGTGGCGTTAGGGGCCACAGTGGGTTGACAGTGGGGGAAACAGGTGTGGGAACCGCTCGCCCGGCGCCCACAGCCCATCACACTCCACAGCTGTCCGCCTAATTGTCTACACCTTAGTCCCCAGGGCCTTCATGGGGACTCGTGGGGTTTCGTGAAACTGGACTAACAGTCTCAATCCGCTTGACGGATGAGAAAACTGAACGTCCCCAGATGCGGGGGCTAGGTCAGTTTACCCTCTTAACCTCTTAACCCCATCCCCAGTAAGCTAGATTTTTCACAGGAGACCCCTGAGTACAGGTTGTCCATGACCTTGACCTTCTGAACCCCAAAGAAAACTAATAGAATTCACTGAGAGATTGAAGGAGCCATAACCCATATTGTATGCTCCATCTCACTCTTCAACGTAACAGTCCTATGTTCACTGCTGCAGCCTTAAATGTGCGATCAATTGACAAATAGCGAAACTACAGCCCTGCTCCACCTGCCACAGAATAAACCGACACAGAACGTGCCGGTCCCCCGAAGTCTCTCATAGGGCCGGTGTGTCTGGTGGCACAGAAGGGGCAGCCAGAGAACGGGAGCCCACCCAAGTCATGCCCTTGGAGTGGGTCTTCCAGGGTCTCTGCGAACCAGCAGTGCCTCTCTGTCCCTAGCTAGAGGGAACATTCCAGACACAGAGCCTTGAGAAGGGCCCTGGGGTGTAGGGCTGGGCAGGTGCTCCTGCAGAGGGTGGCTGGTGCCCCATAAGGGCTTTTCTGTGTCACAAGGTCTGTCTCTGAACCTGGTGGCGACGGGAGGGGCCGTGTCACCGCCTGCAGAATGCCGGTTTGGGCATTCTTTCCCAAACACCCCACTCCTTCCCTCCCACACAACGTAGGTCACAGCTGTATGGCAAACAGACTTATGTTCAAGGCACGGGAGCAATCCCCTGGTCGGCTGAGCCGTTTGTGAGAGACGTACCCAGAAATCACAAGAACTGAACTACAAGACAAGGGACTCGATTACCAGGAAACTGTGGGGACTGTGGCCCATGAGTGAGTGGAGGAGACACTGAATGCACAAAGCAGACAAGAAACAGCTGGGTGTCCCTAAAACAGCAGGAGCCTGCTTTCTCCCCGTGTGACAGAATAAGGTATCGTCAGGATAGAGTCAGGCTCGTGGGATTTCAAAGTCGGAAGGTACATGATGTTCATTTCCTTCAACCGCTGCCTGAAGTAGACCCTCCTAGTGTCCCCGCCAACACTGTTTTAACCTCTGCTGGCCGCTGCCTGCCGCCCCCACCCCAGACACGCAGCCCCATCTGGGAAAAGATTACTAGAATTTTCTGTTAGGAGAAAGAGTCCGCCTCCACTCTCTGTCCTCACGCTTTGGGCTGCCCCAACGTGGACATGTCCCCCTTCCCTTCTCCTGGGCTTTAGTCAGTCCTGTTAATATTTTGTGACACATTTTAGCATCTCCATCAATATCCTTTCTGACTCTTCCCGGACACTGGGTTATTGGTTCATATCTGCCTGAAAGCCTGTTCTTCCGTGGGGCCCACTTCTCCCCCTGCCACCTGGCGCATTCGGAAGGTGGCCTGGGAGAGCCACTACACCGCGTCTCTGCAAACATGACCCGAGTTGGACTGTATTTTTGTGACAGGCACCTTGCTCCACTTGAGTCACACTCACAATCAAGTCAGAAAAACACCAGGTTGTTTGTTTTACACAGAACAGCTTCAACTCAAAGCAACTCCTGCCCCCTGCAGTTTTCTCTTTGAATCGTCTTTTCTTGGAAAAACATACACTCCAGAGTTTTCAATACAGTTGTCTGTCGGTTTCAGGGCAGGCTTCCAGCCTGTCAGGGTCACTTTAGGTCCTGACCGTGGATGGCCATGTCACATGTGGGGGTCTGAGAGGCTGTGGGCTTACTTGAAATAATCTTTTTTCTCCCGTGGCATCCAGGAGAATACACAGGCAAAAGGAGCTGCTTTTTCATCTTAGCTCCTTGGCAATTGTGTGACCTTGGGTTGGCCACTTGTTGCTCAGTTTCCTAACATTTTAATTAAATTTTTAAAACTTACCTTAATTCAAGAGAACCATTAAAATAACGGACGTGAGAGAACTTAGAAAGTTATAAATGGACACACTGAAGATTAGTATGACAATGAGATTCACCGTCATTACCATCATCACTGTCATCATCGTCTTTACCACATGGTTAGATTGGTTCCAACATATTTCTGAAGTTTCCAAACCTCACAGAAGGTTATCTAATGTAGTGAGGGAACTTGTGCAGGTTTAGCAAGAGACAGAGTATAATTTCCCGGGACAAGGACTGTGTCAGGGAGAGGGGGTGAGGCAGAGCTCTTCGGTGGGCTTCGGGAAAGGAAGGGGGGTGCATGGGAAGGGGAGGGAAGGAAAACGGAAAGGAGGAAAAGAAGGGAGAAAGGAAGCTGCCATGGTATATTTTGATAATGTGAAAAAGGATGGTTTTCCTAAGTGGGGCCCAAAACCCCACTAAATGAATGGAAAAACATGCAAATGTTGTTTCTGTATAACAGAAGCCATCTGAATAGCAAACCAGCTATGAAACTATTTTTGAGTTCAGTGGTAATCAGTGAAATCCAAGTGGAAGTCATCCTTATTTATGCTCATAAGAGTGATTTAAAAATTACAAGTTGAATATCAACAAGTTCATGTGAAGTTTTGGGGAATTCTCACACATGGCCGGTATCGGTGAGGATTAGCACCGCACTCTCGGAGTCACGTGGGCAGCATCCAGTCAGGTGGGAGCTGGCCATCCAAGATAAGCTGCTGTACATGTGCCCAGAGACATACAGTATATGGGGATTCTTCTGCAGCAAGCGTATATTTGGAAACAGCTTAAAGTTGTGTTAATAAATAACTGGATTAAATGTTACACAAATCATGTCTTTATGTGAAAGTTTCAAATGCAAAAACAGTACTAGATGTTACCCATAGACGCATGTGTCAGTGTAAGCGGATATACACACCTGAGGAGGATAAATCAAACCCTCAGACAGTCGGTTGCATCTGAAGGGAAGAGGGAGGGAGAAAGGGCCTGGGGGTCAAACACCAGCCACGGGACTCCATGTGTAGTGCTTTAACTTCGCATCAAACAGAAGAGCTGCAGGAAAAATGCCAAAATACTGACATTTGTCCATTTTTCATGGTAGGCTTTTGTTTTATACTCAGTGTATTTCTTCACCTAAAAACTGTGTTTCATAACTGCATAATATTAAAACAATAAATAAATGCAGTCTCATCTCAGGTAGAGCTGGACGTCACTTCTTGCCTTTCTAACACCGAGATGAGGAACACAATATTACACCTCACTGGACTGAAACATTTATGCCAACTGATGCCAATGGTTGTGCCAATTTCTGTTTACATCTCCTAGATTACAAAACTATAGGGGACAATAGGGGACACGGGCCTCGGAGCCAGCCAGGAGAAACAGTTGGTTAAACACTGAGCAAGAAGCAAGCCTCTCCTGAATTTAAAAGGATTAATAAAGACTTTATTTATTTCTTTACTTTCTTACTTATTTTTAGAGAGAGGGGAAGGGAGGGAGAAGGAGGTGGAAACATCAGTGTGTGAGAGAAGTGCTGACCTGTTGCCTCTCTCACGCGGGCACTGAACCCACAACCCAGGCATGTGCCCTGACGGGGGATAGAACTGGTGACCTTTTGCTTTGCAGTACGACGCCCAACCGAGCCACATGGGTCAGGGCAAGTCTCTCTGGAATTTGTCCTGAATGTTGACTCTTTCTCTTTGGTCACGGCACCTCCTCCGCTCCACCGGCTGCTCAGGGGGCTGACGACAAAGTTGCTAGAGCAAGTGTCATTGGATGACATCCTTTTCCAGTTAGAGGGCATAATAAGTAAGTGATATGTTTTAACACTTTTCCTGCTTTCCTGTAAGCTGAGAAAACAAAGCAACCATATGTGGTGTTGCAGCTCCTGGTTTGCTGAAAGTTATTTATAGACGTTTTCAAATACAATGTGAGTTAAGAAATTAGCCATGGAAATGGCCCCTCCATGCAGAGTTAGCCTTAGGAGTCCCAACTGGAGGTATCCTCAGGCCTTACCAACTCCTATGTGGACACTTGCTTTTTATTCCTTTTCTGATTTTATTCCAGAAGAGAATGGAAGGACAGCCAAAGAGCATATACGGAACTATGGCTGAAGGTAAGATAGCATCCGAGTTCTCGAGAGGTTCTGGTCTCTCACCTCAGACACAGTGGCAGAAGCCCTGTATGTTAAACTGCAGAAGAAAAAGACAGCGCTCATTTGTTCTTTACCTCCCCCATCACCACACACACACACACACCCCACCGACCCCCACAGTACTATGTTGTGCTGTGTGGGAAATGTGGAAATGAAACTCCAGGTCAGACTTTGGAAGAGTTTTGAACTGAATTGTGAATGAAGTTTCTCTTTCCTTGTCTACCCTCAGCTGAAAAATGGAAAAGTTCCCCAGACTTAGTCATGGTGTTTGCTACAAAACATCCCAGAACACTTTGGAAAAGGAAGAATCAACCCAGAGCAGAAGAAAAAGAGTAGATTCTAGGAGCCTACAATGGACTTGGAATTCATTTGGGCTCACGAGAACTCGAGAACTCCTTGTGTTCTCGCCCTCCTTGGTCCCTTGAAGGTTTTAGCTCCTGGCTCTGAGTTCCTTCTCCAACACCACTTTTGTTAACTTCCTGTAGTTCACTCAGCCGAGTAGATGATTTCTCCAAACCATGTACTTCTAGTGGTCTTATATTCCACTCCTCTTCAGCCACCCATCCCGGCTCTTCTCCCGGACTTTGCCCTTGACCTTTCTATTGTCTCAGTTTCAAGCATCCAACCCCCCACCCAAAGAGCAGAGACCTGGGAGCCTCGGCTGGTCCTTGGTGGGAGGCTACATCTGCCACCTCCATTCTTCCCAAGGTCTAGGTGAAAGTGTTGAGCACGCTACACGGATATGACTGGGAGTTTGTGGGTGGAACACAGGCGGTAATATTTTCCCCTTTGTGACTTGTCCTCTGCCTCCCTCTAATCTCACATTTATTTACCATGAAACTGTCATGGGTACCATCCTGAAAAAACACAGGGACCACTTGTCTTTCAGAAAAACTCTTTTGCTTGGTCTTGATGATGGCTTGGAGCATCCTGCTCAGTGTAGCCGTTCTTACTCTTGGATGTGGCTGCCACGCCATATGCCTTCCTAGGTGGCCTTCCTATGACCAAGCACCTCCTAAAGTCATCGACATACCTTTGTATGTATTTAGATAGGACGGTTTTCCTGAAACAAAGGTCCGTGTTTTTTATGAGATACCATGAGGGTCCCTGACCAAAACATCTTAAGCATCACTAGCTTAGCAAGATGCAATTTTTTTTCCAGGCAGAGTGAAAAATAACCAGTCGGAATCATCATCCTCACTGAGGCTCATCCTGGTGGGCAGATCCGGCTGCGGAAAAAGTGCCACTGGGAACAGCATCCTGTGCCAGCCCAAGTTTGAGTCCAAAATGTCCGCCCGGGCAGTGACCAGGACGTGCCAGGAGGGCACGGTCATGTGGAACGGGAGGAACATCCTGGTGGTTGACACGCCCTCCATCTTTGAGGCAAAGACCCAGAACCAAGAGATGTACAAGGACATTGGGGACTGCTACCTGCTCTCAGCCCCAGGGCCCCACGTGCTGCTGCTGGTGACGCAGCTGGGCCGCTTCACTGCCCAGGACATAATGGCAGTGAGGAGGGTGAAGGAGGTCTTCGGGGCAGGCGCCATGCGACACGTGGTGGTCCTCTTCACCCACAGAGAGGACCTGGGGGGCGAGTCCTTGAAAGAGTACGTAGCCAACACAGACAACCTCAGCCTGCGGATCCTAGTCCACGAGTGCGGGGGCAGGTACTGTGGCTTCAACAACCGGGCCACCGAGGAGGAGCAGAGGGAGCAGCTGGCGGAGCTGATGGCTGTGGTGGAGAGCCTGGAGGAGGAGCTCCAGGGCGCCTACTATAAGAACAACCTCTTCTTGCATGCACAGGAGCACAAGAGAAACAGGGGCGGCACCTCTGGGCAGGAGTACAGGCGCTACCTAGCCCAGGTGGAAGAGCAGGTTGAAAAGCAAAAGCGAGACCTGAAGGAGACGGAGAGTCACGGGCTGTCCAGGGCACTCCGCAGGGTGAAAAAGTGGATCTGGTCTCACATTGGGTTATCTGCATTTATTGCGATATGCATTTTGATTTATCTTGCCGTTTTAATTAACTGGGGAATTACTCGTTCGCACTAAGCATTTCCACTGACTCCTACGATTGGCTTTTTGTTTCCAGACTCGCCATCTCTGTGTATGTAAGATACTTGATTTGCTTTTTACTTAGTGTCAGGTTCAGTTTCTCTTCCCTGTATCAGACATGCCCAAGTGCTTAAAGAGAAATAAAACCCAAAAGAAAAAAAAAACGCTTCTTTTTCATGGTTTTTGTTTTGTTAAGAATCATGGAGGTGAATGATTAATTGGATACCTTTCTGAAATCTCTGGGGGCCAGGGGTTGCAGGAAGGAAGGGGCGTGGACTGTGATATCACACGTTGAGAGAAGAGATGGGTTATGTTAGAAGCTGGTAAAGGAATTCCTTCTTTTATTCGGAAGCATACTCTGGTTTCATCGCAGGCTGTCAGGGACAACACTGGTCACTAGCCCCACCCGAGAGAGGGTGATGAGGGCGTTCCGGGGCGAATTCTGGAGGCGTGAACGGGGTGAGGGGAAGGGAGGAAGGGACCTGGACACTTGAGGAGAGAAAAGGGGTCCCAGGTGGGGTGGGGTGTTGCCTTGGGGAAAGCAGAGTCAGTGGCTGGGAAAAGCAGAAGCTGGAATTTCACAGAGCAGGGCCAGACAGTGGCTGCTTCAGGCCAAGCGGACCGAAGGCTCTCAGTCACTTGCAGAGGAAAAGGTGCCCGGACAGAGTGGGAGGGATGTGCGAGGCTGCGATCCCATCAGACTTTCTGAACACTGAAATCTGAATTTCACGGCACTTTCACACATGACGATGAAACGCTATTCTTCTTTTCATTTCTTCAACCTTTAAAAAATGTAAAAGCCCTTCCTTCTTAGCTCACAGGCTGCATACACCGACGGCAGTCCGGATGTGGTCCCAGCCGCGTGGCACAGTAAATATCCCATGGTCGCTGGAGCCGTGCTCTAAGGCAACCTCTAGCCCCAAAGGGGGCTCCATCCTGTGTGATGTTGGGACCCTGGGGAAGGAGGGATGTTCCCCATTTTCACGGGAGCAAAGGGAAGAGGGCAGACGCCGGGGTGACATCTGAGCAGAAGTCCCAAAGTCACTGACAATGGGAAGTCAGATGAAGCCCCTGCATGGCCCCTCCCCCAACCACACCTCCTTTTGGTGGCAGCCCCGCCCCCTCCTGTACTCAGGTGTACCCTCTGCAGGAGACCTGCAGCCGTCCCAGGCAGCCTGCCACCAAGTGGGCAAATGATTCCATCTGGGGTGAGTCTTAGGACCTCACTTGGGCCGCCCAGGTGTCATTCTCCAAACCTCTATTGGCGACAGAGGTGTCGCCTGGATGTAGCACGTGACTGATCCCAAACACCACAAGGAGGGTGACTGACGTACCAGCTCCTCAAACCCTGAGGCCACCCTGAGGTCTCCGAGTTCTCTGACCAAGGACCACCTCCTCCATGCAGCGCTCCCAGACTGTCCGACCTGGCTAGGTCTCTCCCCTCGGGGACTTCCTGCAGCCCAGCTGTACAGAAATGTTCACACAAACACGACGGAGTGTCCGATTCTGCACTCAGCACCAGCACCACGTGTGTAAGAGAAAGAAGGCAAAGTCCCTGCTCCCCAGGACGACTGTGTATAGACCGATGAAGGCTCAGGAAAGGGGAGCATAGGAGGAAAGTTTTGGAGGTCGGGCATCCTTGGCCCAAAGGATGGCACGTGGGCTCAGCAGAGACTCCCCCAGATGGGCGGCGCTGGAACTGCTCAGAACCCGCTGGCCTCTCCGGGACTCACTCTACTCCAGGCGGAGGGAGACCACGGTCAAGGGCAGGAATGAGAATCACACACGGGGAGGGGTGCAGAGAGAGGGGAGCACTGTGGGCCAGGGTCTGTGCGTCACCTTCAGGACTGGAGGGCAGGGAGTCCGCGGAGGCTTCCAGCAGGTGAGCAGTTTTCGGAAGATCAGGCTGCAGCAGCGATGTGGTGGCCAAACTGTAAACGTGTAAACCTTGGGGAGGGTAGAACGTTTACAAGGGAAGAATTCCATCTTGGAATCAGGGTCTGCGCCTTAGCAAAGTGAATGGGGATGTAAACAGGAGACACTGGGGGTCGGGGGGGGATCGAGGGAGGGGGGCAGTGAAATCAACAAAACATGGTTGGTGATGGCAATACTGGGGAGGGAACCAGGTTTCTACGCTGGGCCACCCTGCGGCATGTGGCTCTCTTCACTGCCCTGAGTTCTCAGAGGAAGGGCAAACTGGGCAGAGGAGGGTGAGGACTGGGATGGGTATGTGCCGGCTCTGGCACCCTCGGAGACACAGCATCCAGTCCTCCAGTAGACAATGGGTGACCTCATTCTCCCTCCTGGGAAGGGGACCAGGCATAAGTTGGGCCCAAGAAAGTCCTGGGAAGCCTGGCTGGTGTGGTCCAGTGGATTGAGTGCTGGCCTACAAACCAAAGGGTCACTGGTTCAATTCCCAGTCAGGGTACATGCCCAGGTTGTGGGACAGGTCCCCAGTAGGGGGAGCGCAAGAGGCAACCACCTATTGATGTTTTTCTCCCTCTCTTTCTCCCTCCCTTCCCCTCTCTAAAATAATTAAGTAAAATCTTTTTTTTTTTAAGATTTCATCCATTTTATTTTTTAGAGCGGGAAGGGAGGGAGAAAGAGAGAGAGAGAGAAACATCAATGTGCAGTTGCTGGGGGTCATGGCCTGCAACCCAGGCATGTGCCCTGACTGGGAATCGAACCTGCAACACTTTGATTTGCAGCCCGTGCTCAATCCACTGAGCTACACCAGCCAGGGCTAGTAAAATCTTTTTTTTTAAGTTTTGAAACATATTGTCAAAGATTGATCAAAATTTACAATATTTCATTTTTTTAAAGTTTTAGTATATTAGGTAAAAAGAGATACCTTTCAGCCTGTCAAGTGAAAAAGTAAGAGATTTCGTGGAGTCACCTGATAGGACCTGGTAAAGGCTTTTTGGTGTATTTCCCTGATATTGTGAAATCTAATGTCTGTAATGGCTGATGAGTAAAGCCTGTTGCAAGGCAGACAGTTCACACTACTTTGTTTTCAACAAAAAGGAAGGCAGATGTGTCCATTAGCAGATCACGAAAAATTAATGATCGATTGCTATGTGGCTTTTGGCAATCACGGTATCTTGGAAGGAGTCCGAAGCACTGAGGGGCAAGGTCATAGCAACGTTGTTTCCTTCCTGTTTATTTATTTACGTTAACAAGGTACCCAGTGCCATCCTGATTAAAACACAAATAGGAGCAGAAGTGGCCTGAGCATTGTCTCATTCCAGCAAAGAATCACAGTCATGCACGCATACATAAAAAGTCTCGCCCGACCCATGAAATGACTTTCCGAAATGAAAGAGCTACTGCTAAATACTTACTTGACAGCTGTCGTGACATGTTTGTGCTGCTTCGACCAATTGTGCACTGATAACACTTTGAAAATGATAACCAAATGCAGGAGAGAGGTCTCACATGTAAAGCTTCATGGTCACAGCACTTTTTTCCAATTTTTATATATATTTTTGTGACAAAAATGTAAGCGAGGGTGATCAAGATTTTCCAGCGTAAAAATCGATTACAGTAAGATACAATTTTTCCCTGGCTGGTGTGGCTCTGTGGATTGAGTGCCAGCCTGAGCACCAAAGGGTTGTCAGTTTGATTCCCAGTCAAGGCACATGCCTGGGCTGCAGGCCAGGTCCCCAGTAGGGGGCGCAGGAGAGGCAACCACACATTGATGTTTCCCTCTCTTCCTCCCTCCCCCTCTCTAAAAATAAATATTTTTAAAAAGTAAATTATATATTTTAAATCTGTTTTTAAAGAGACACAATTCTGCCCTGGCTGGCGTAGCTCAGTGGATTGAATGCGGGCTGCAAACCAAAGTGTCCCAGGTTCGATTCCCAGTCAGGGCACATGCCTGGGTTACAAGCCATGACCCCCAGCAACCGCACATTGATGTTTCTCTCTCTCTCTCTTTCTCCCTCCTTTCCCTCTCTAAAAAATAAATAAATAAAATCTTTATTAAAAAAGAGAGAGATACAATTCTGTCGGGTATGTGAACGGGCGGTCAGGCAGAAAGAGGAACAAAGTAAAATTTCTGACTATTAGAGATGAGCTCGTTCATATTTTTTTTTCAAAATTATATATAAGTACCCAATATCTATGTTATTTATATCTTTTAAAAAAGAAGTAGAAATTTATTTTTAAATGTTAACATCTACAATGTGGTAGAAATTTCATTCTTTGCAAGCATCCGTGATGAAAAAAATTTAGAAGTGATAGCGGTCTGGTGCCCGAGGGAGGGAGCTGTCGCAGGAAACACGGGAGATGGCAGGACTGAGGCCACAGCATCGGGTGGGATGGATGTCCCCACCCGCCAGGGTAAAGGGTAAACACCCTGGTGGGGCGGTGTCCCGTTGCCCTGGCAACTGGGCTAGCAGGAGAGAGAATCTTGTACAGAGTTTGCGCAGCAAAGGTCACAGCAACACAGGGACTGTGGAGGTTAACACAGTGACACAGGGAGGGGCAGACGGTCTAGCCAATGGGATTGGCTAGGAAACTGGGCGCTTCCCAAGAGCATGGAATTTGGGGCTGGGAAACTTAAACAAAAGGTAGGGGAAACACGCCCCTCCTCTTTGCCCTCTCTGGCTCGGCCTTGGGCCAGTGAGCACCGAGGCGAGTTCCACGCCCCGGACTGTGCCCCTTCCCTGGCTCTGAGATCAGCGCACAGATGCGTGGGCTGTAATGCTCACCGGACCAGGGGGTGTGAGCAGCCTCTGGCGCGGGGGCCCCAGGGACAGAGTCCATTCGGCAGCAGCCGCAGGCCCCAGCGGCAGAAGCTGCAGCCTGGTGACCGAGCAGCGGCCCCACAAGTCCGCATTCCAGGGAGGGAGTCTGAAGCTGCAGAGCGGTCTGCTTAGAGCAGCCTCATACTCCAGAAGGACAGATAAGGATGGAGCAGGGGTTTCTGGACACTGTTTTTGGTTCTGGGCATAGTGGCCCTAAGTTGTGCAACGTGTCAATAAAGACCTTTTTCCTTCTCTACCAATTTTTGTTTTATGCCCATGTTCGTCGGTGGGCAGCTTTAGTTCGGTAACCGAAGTTCAATACAAAATGTTCAAGAAAGCACCTAGATCTTTAAAATTCTGTGAGTAAATGCACATGCAAAATAAGTTTGAAGACCATTGCCCTAGAGAAACTCTTA